AAATCACCCGGAGGTGTGGGATGATCCTACATGGGTAGATCCAAATCATAAAGAACCTTGTTTCCCATCGCGAGTGCAGAGAAACGATCGATTGAACAATGGCCAGCCCTGTAAAAATTAGCAGAAGAGCCAAATGTTTTTCCCAGAAGAGCTACAGGGAGAGAGTTGCCAGGTATCTGTAAGAACAAAAAGGCCGGGCCCAGGACTCGACGGGCGGTACACGAATGAAATTCTTGAAGGACAGGGCAAAGGTTCATCCCCGCAATTCTTCTGAAAGCTGTATAAAGGTGCTTGAAGGAAAGACGTTTCCGGGTGTATGGAAAAAGCAGAAACTGCCTCTATTCTTAAAAGGCAGCAAACCACACACGAGTCGGGCACATCTTACGAGACCCAATCTGTCTACTAGGACACGTGGAAGAAGGTATTTGAGGTCTGATTCGTGCGAAGAGACTACGGACATGGCTAGAGGAAACAGCGGACGGCCCTGTCGGAAAGCAAATATGGCTCCGAAAATGTTAGATCGAGCAGTCGACCGCTACAAAACAGTCGTGAAAAGGCAAGAGAAGCCAAAGACGGAACAAAAAAAGAATTCTGTGCCTTCGTTAACGGCTCGATATCAGGAACGCCTTTAACTCGACCAAATGGGAGGAGATTATCAAGGCTCTGATAGAGAAGAACACCCCAGAGTAAACCTCACCGCGTATAATACGGAGCTACCTAAGCGACCGAAAGACCATCTACGAAGGTGAAGGAAACCCATGAAATTGAGATGACCTGCTGGTGTCCCACAAGGTTCAAAACTTGGTCCTGTCTTATGGAATATTATGAACCGACAGTCTACTGGGCATTAAAACTCCCGCAAAATGTCTCAATAGTAGGCTTCGCAGACGATGCAATAATATGGCAACGGCGGAAACATGCGACCTTACTAGAAATCAGCGTGAACGACACCCTGAGAAGAGTGATGAGATGGTTGACGTCCAAAGGCCTGGAATGGCAGCCCACAAAACGAAGCATGCTTTATTCACCGAGAAAGACGATCGTACTCCAACCCAACATTCCGAATAGAAGGACAAAAAATACAATGTTGGCAAGAGACTTCACTACCTAGGAATGGACATTGACAGGAAGCTAAGTTTTGGACCACACATAGTGAGACAAACGGAAAAAGCCCTAAAAATTAGCAGCAACGCTTTCCAGATTTGATGCCGAACACCAGGGCCCCAGCGACAAGACGAGACGAATTTAATGAGTGTGCATGCACTCGAAAATGCTCTATGCAGCACCATTGGGCCAGACGCCTTCAAAGCAATAATCTCAGAAGGAAAGATGCAAGTCTGTCCAGAGGAAAGAGCTCTACGCATAACATCGGCGATAGGAACTGTAGCCGAAGTTGCTGCTTCTTCTGCTGTCGCGAACGTCCTCCTATTGACCTGCTTTGCTCTGAGAAAGAAAGAAGTTTACCAACTACTCCCCACGAGCAAGAAAGCAACGGAAGCAAATGCAACAAGATAAGGATAGCGCAATTAAAAAAGCGAAAGAAAACGTGATGCACCGTGGCAGGAACGTTTGGGACAGAGAGGAGACCGGCAGATGGACTCATAGGCTCATCCCGAATATATCCAAATGGATAAGCCGCAAACACGGGTCCGTGACATACCACTTAACTCAGGCATTCACTGGCATGGATGTTTTAAGGCATACCTTTAAAAGATTCAGCAAAACAGAAGACGCGGTATGCTTCTACTGCAACCATGAATGCGGACGACGCCGAACATACGCTGTTCCATTGCCCCGAGATGGACACGCTAAGCATCGCATGATAGGAGTCGGGTGTAATGTCTCACCAGAAAACATGTCACACTTATGATCTTAAACCAAGCGAAAGTGGACAAGCAAATAGAGAAATATATCACCGCCATTCTCAAGAAAGAAGAAGAAAGACGAAAAAGAAACCAGTATAGCGAATCTGAATAACACCTCGAAGTAATACAGCTGGCACCATCCTGAAGTAATGCTAACTGCGGCGGTTCCAGGGTGGATAACGCCAGGAACACAAAGGGTTTGTGGTTTTAGTGGGTAAAAATCTCACATTGTTGAGGAGTGCGGGCTCCTCAGGGAGAAATCCCGGGAGAAATCCCGGGCGTCATAAACCAGCAGAATTTTCCTGCTATTCAAACGGTCCCTTAGGGGCCAACAAAGAGAGCACAACCTCGCGCATTGCAAACGCCCTTTAGGTCTTGATGCAGGCCGACGAGAACGGATGCCTTGCGCATGTGAAGACCGATCTGGTTGCGCTCTTCACCGCAGCTCTGACTTTAGCTGAACAAGCTCAGTTCAGCAAAGCCGCTACCAAAAATGGGCTTTCTGAGTTTTACTCCTGCCCACCTTGTGCACAGCCACTGACGCCGACTCTTCCAGCAAATGCAAGAAGCGCCGCCTTTCAGGCGATTCGCCGACTGCCTACGCCACCACCCTTCGCCTTCCATCTAACAGCTTTCTGGCTCTGCCTGGTAATGGCGAAATGCAGGTGGACAATGCGCCTTTTGGGTGCGCCTCGGCCGCCGCCGTCGAGGCCCCGCTAGCCGGAAACGGCAAAGTGGAGACCCTTGCGGTGAAGCTCGCGCTTCCTGACGCCATGTCCCCTGTCCCACCCTTGCCGCAGTGCCAGGAGGTAGTCGCCGCCTCTGCCTCCCAGCCGCTGCCCGCACCGGCCTTGCAACCTGTGTCCGTTCCGGGGCCTACGAAGGCTTCCAAGCGCGTTCCGCCCATCATGGTCGCGAGCGCCTCGGTGCCTTCACGGTCGTTGCTGTCACACTAATCCAGGTGATCGACGCATCACCTACCCGCTTCCCCACTGACCCTCGCCTCCGACACGAAATCGTCGTTGTGGCACTCACATCAGGGAATATTCGAATCACTACTCCCAAACCCATTCCCTTCTCTCTCTCCGTTCACATTCCCATCACCTTCACAGTAGGTAGCATTCGCGCCTCCTGCGGCCCTAGGCAATGGGTCCCACAACCCACTGACTGGGATGAGTTTCGCAAACAACTCGCAGCACTACACACACATGCACAAACCACGCAGACAATGGATTCACCAGAATCTATAGATGCTAGTTTACACACACTTACAAAACACATACAAAGAGCCCACAGAAAGGCGACGCCGGTTTTCTGGCGCCCGCCCGAAGAGGGTTCACGTACACTTCTTCCAGATGTCGAAGAGCTTCTGCATGAAAAACGCAAAGCTAGGCGACTATGGCATCAGTTTAGGTGTTCTGCGCTTAGAAAACAGCTGAAGGAATACGAAAAACGCCTCAAAACGGCGCTCGTAAACCACCACACAGAGGAGTGAGAAGAACGTGTATGCGCACCGCGCGTCCGTGTCGTGCGAGCGCGTGCAGACGCGGTACTTAACTGGTACCCACCTCTCACACGGCGCCACGCACGATGATGAGCCAACAGCGTGGACCGTACTGTTGACTATAGACGGGCACAGCACACACACACGGTCTCCGGTAGCTCACGCAATGTAGCCAGAGGGCTACTAAAATAAAAGGCTGGAGGACCACCTCGCACGAGGAAATGGGAGGAGCGGCCGAAATGAATAGCAAAGCGGATAGCTTAATTATTAATTTAATTTATACTGCCTCTAGGAATTAATAATTAAAAAACTTATAATATAATAAAAACATGGAGAACAAAGGACACATAACTCTAAATCTACAACAAAACAAAATGCGTGCGGTGCCCAAGAGGGGGAATACTAATAAGAAAACTAAAACTTAAAGAGTAGTTTAAAGTGCGATGTCCTTCATTCAAAGGGCCTCTTCCCACGGCGCGGCCGCGGCGCGCTTCGCAGCAGCGCAGCGCGTAGCAAAGCATTGGTTTGAATGGAGGCCTTCCCACGTGCGGCGGGTGGCGGCTGCTACGGCAGCCGACGCCGAACTCCAGCCACGCGAAGCGGAGGAGGGGGCACGCCACGGCTAGCAGAACACAGCTTTAAATGGGAGCATTCCCACTGCGCCGCGGCCGCGGCATTCTACCTGTTCCGGTCCCTTTGTTCGTCGTCGCCGGAGGGTCGGCGAAACCTACCCCTCCAGACCCCACCCCCTTCCACGGCGGGCGGCGGTGCGGCCGTGGCTCCGGCGGTGGCTGCGTCGGAAGGGCTCTGCTCCTTGAAGGAAGCGCGCCGCGGTCGCGCCGTGGGAAGGGACCCTAAGAGGGTGGCAAAGCCAGCGGTGCGGTGTCAAAGAGACGGATTTGCGCCTTCGAAGTCCCGGCGGCCGAGCAGAGAGGGGAGGGGGCGGCGCAGGCGGTTGCAAACCACGTGCGTGCGTAAACAGAACGTATGAGAGAGATCGGTTCCGATCCCTCCCGTAACGGCCTTTTCAAACTCCAAAAAGCGCTCAAGTCAGTACCTAAAACCGCAACCGCCATACGTGGTCACGACAACGCGGAGGGTAAACCAACATACCTCTTCTCAGATCAGGCAAAAGCAGAATTCTTCGCCGACATGCTTGAAGAGAGGTTTGTTAACAACACTACACAGGCGGTAGATGAGGAGGAAACGGAAGACAGCGCCAGCACACTTACAAATTGTACAGTCGAAGAAGTTTCGACTACAATTAAATGCTTGCGTAGTCGCAAGGTACTGGGACCTGACCGAATAGGCCCTCCCATTCTTAAGGAGGCCCTTCCGGCCATAAACACGAAGCTGACGTGAATCTACAACAGCTGCAATACACAGCAGTACTTTCCAAAAAATTGGAAATACGCAAGTATTTCTATGCTTCCGAAACCCGGTAAGGATCTCACGATCGCAGCGAGCCACCAACCTATCAGTCTTCTCTCGGTTATGGGAAAGGTATTTGAGAGGCTGCTACTCGCTCGAATTCTGTCAACTGCTCACTCGCGGAACCTCATCCGAGATGAACAGTGTGCATTCAGACCGGGCCATTCCGCATCACTACAAGCATTTTGCATGGCTCAGAAGATTTCCGCTGATCTGTTGCTCACACAGGATATACCTGTCATATATCTCGACATGGTACAAGCCTTTGACAAAGTGCCACACAGCACACTCATCTCCAAACACCGTCGCTACCTTCCCCAAGATGTAACCGGAATGGTTATATATTTCCTCACAAACCGCACATTCGTGGTAAAAGTGGGCAAAGCGAGATCCTCAAAGCGGAGGATTGCGGCTGGATTGCGGCTGGTCCTCTCTCCGCTACTGTTCTCGCTCTATGTCAATGACATACCGCAAATACCACGAATAAGACTATTCCTTTACGCTGATGACATAGCAGTGTTAGCGAGAGGAATAAACCTAGATCACAAACTCAAAATACTTCAAAAACAGATTAACCTGACTCTGAAGTGGGCGGAACAAAACCACTTGACTTTCTCAGCGGAAAAATCACAGGCCATCTGTTACACCCACCGCAAACACAAATACACCAAACGTCTTACACCACCAAAACAAATTACACTTGGTACACAAAACGTAACATGGGCACCTAAGGCAACCTATTTAGGTGTCACTTTTCATCGAAGGCTGCGCTGGCATTTACATGTCACACGAATTCGATCAAAATTACGGCAAAGAATTCGACTATTATAACCTCTTTTGAGGGAACCTACACTCCCCTTGAAACTTCGCTTGGCTTTCTACAAAACTTTTTTGCCGGCCTGTAGCCACCTACGATGCTGCGGCAACGTGGTGGACTACTGCACAAAAGTACAAGGATACACTTGAGCTGGTACAGAACAAAGTTCTACGGCTCATAGCACGCCCTCCGTTTCGGAAACGGTTGAAAGTACTGAGGAAGGAACTTGATATCGAGTCCTTTACTCAATGCTTGAGACGGATTTCGTTTAACGAAGCTTATCAAGCCTTTCAAACGACGAAGCTCCGGCAACGCTTAAACGGTTAGCTCGACACGTCCTTACAATAGGGCAAAGAAGACAAGCACTCCCCTCTGACATTCTAAGGGCGTAGTGCAACACAAAAGCCGATTTGGCTATTGACTAAGGTCCGACACGAACCCACACCAGCCACTTACACATAGCAGTAAAACGCAAAATTGCGTGCGCACTGCAACACACAGTACACAAACCTTTGGCTTAGCCAATAAAAAAAAGCATTCGAGGATTCTTGTCCTGAAAATTGAGATGTATGGATGTAGCCTGCACACACATCAATAAACAGAGTTTGTAAGTCCATGTGTTCTTATTTTATTTAACGTGGTAGCAGTTCGTCGTTTTAGACATTTGTGAAGTAAAATTGAAGAAAACGTAAAGAAAGAAAAATGGCAGATGTTACGATACCAGTTCTCGATGCAATATGCTAACCACAAAAGAAAGGACGAGTGAATGTAAAACAGGATGGGAATGTACGAACAACGAAAGGCTAGAAAAAAGTGCGCGTTCTCATTCATATTTCAATAAGAACTTTACGCGATCTTCTCGGGAAACTGAACATCTAAACAAGTGTACACTCCGTATTAAACATTACACAGTAATAGTATGTATTTACACTTACCAGCAGACTTATCGATAAGATGAGAAAGCTTCATTTTCTGAAGTGCTTCTATGCACTTCGAGTCCATTGTAACACGCACTTTCCCGAAAACCGATACCGCGCCCTGCCAGACAACACGCACTGCACGGGTACGATGAGAGAGTTGTTGTGAAATCGCTGCGCTGATGTGTTCATGTCGGAGCATCGCGAAGCAGCGCCGCTCCGAATCTGCCAGAGGCATTAACAGGACATTCCGCCAAACTAACTCGTCCCTTCCATACCAATCTTGTGTAAATCACCCACCATACTTCCTTAATTGGCTTAGGGACTTTTGGTTACGATTGAAGTTGAACCGCAGTAGGGGTCTACCTGAACATCATTCCTCTACGCAATAGAAGCAATACAGCCTATGAGGCACATAGGTCTTTTTTTCGCTGAATATTGGCATGTTTGATAAAGAGAGATATGTCAACCTCACTCAGTTCCCCCTGCAACATGCGGCAAACAGCTGTGTGGAGCCCTCGAGAGAGTTGATGCTAACTCGTACTTATTTCGAAGTGTTAGTTCTGCAAGCGAATTCAATTGAGGTTTGCTTTGGAAATGTATTGTTATTTTATATTTTGCTTTGCATTTTCATCGATGGGTCGTGATTTGACGGAAAGCCCTTCAAATATTCACGAAGAGAAGAAAGAATTGCGCAGTTTGATATCCTGGCTGTTGCGATGATTATAGAGGTAAGCTGCCTTGTCTACAATAATTATTAAGTTGGTTTGCTTCGAACATGACATAAGAATAAATAATCACTACAAACATCAGTAATTGAATCAGTACTTAATTTTTCTTGAAAATTATTTTAGATAACGTGAATTTTACAAATATTTATTATACCAATATAAAAATTATTATACAATTTAACTTTATGCAAATTAGTGTTTATTGAAAATTAAAAGTGGCTTACTTGTAAGCATGTTTACATTGATTATAGAAGAGAAGCAGATTTGTATATATTATAAATATAATATTTTGTGTTGTGGTTAGTGATTGATTACATTTGAAAAACTCAATGGCCATTTCCTTTACTTTTGCAGGGAGAAGTCTAGCCTCTTGATGAAAGAAATTTGGAAGTATATGAATGAGTGTTTAATAAATAATTATGGAATTGGTTCTTGTATGGAGGAGAGGAAATCTATTGTGTACTACAGGCCTAAGTGGGTCTCCAAAATTAAGAATATTTTCTTCCAAATTATATGAAAAATAAAACAGTGAAGACAAGTGTGAAATTGTGCCAAAAAAGTGACTGTGTACAGAATATTTCAAATATATGCAGTGCTCTATTATTCTGTCAATTTCTATTATTCAAAGTCTTATTAGTCAGTCAAATTGCATCTTTTAACACAGTTTTCAGTTTGGTACATTCTCAGTATTTAGAAGGGGAAGTATCATTTTTATGTAAAGAAAATAATTAATTTGAAGTAAGATTTTTATCTAATTTTTTTCTTCTATGATATAAATAATTGTATGTTACGCAATATACATCATTGAGTAAATAAAAAGAAAATTTAAAAAGTCAACTTCAAATTATTATCATCTTTAAAAATAAGAAAGAATTCTTCACATTTTTATATTGCCTAAGAGAATAAATTTGTTGTTAATTATATCAATCTTAAATGAATTCTCAGAATGTTTCCTATTGTCCTTGTAAAGAGCCTATATTGTGGTGGTGATATGTTGGTGTTTAATAAACTGAATATAAAGACCGAATACTACAACTACAAAAAAAACATCAAATGTTCAAAATCATTTCCAAAAGATTAATTTCTTAGGTTTCCTCAGTTAATGTTGACTGAACAACATAACACTCTTCCAATTTTTTAAGTTTTTCATGAAATTTCATCCAAGTTTACATGGAAGACTTCTGAAATGATTGTGTGTTTTTCAAAAACCATTGTAAATTAATAATTTTGAATTCTTAAGTACAAACTGAAGTGAATTTCAAAGTAAACAGATTATCAGGGAAGTGATAAAATTAATTGGTAAACTAGTTTTATTTTAAAATGTTTCTTAAATCATAAACAGTAATAAACTGGAAGGCTGAGCGTTCTATAGGGTGTAACATCTCAATATTTTGCCAAATAGTGGTATGGGACTATCTAATCCCAATCACTTCAATTTTGATTTAATTACAAACGTGTAATTCAAATGTTGTTCAAGGAAATGTGATATTATTTGTACTATCAAAACCAATAATGTAAATAATTATCTTTCAATAAATTTTCTAGTTAAAAAAATCTGTTTCTGGCATCTCATTTTTCTTCTATTGTTCTTCAGTTTATTCGCTGAATAAACATCCACAATTGTTTAATAACATTTAAAAAATAAATTCATTTTACAATTTCTGTTATAAATTATGCCTCCTTGGACTGCACCCACATTGTGAAGGAGCCATGGATAGCAAGCGCATAAGAATAAATCATCCAAATCAATCCGGGTGAATGGTGAATATACAACAAAAAATTATTTTCTAGTTGTATAAGGTGTGGATGCAAATTACAAATTCATTAACAGATGGAGTGGATAGTAATAGAAAACAAAATAATGGAGGTACCTTCTGAGTATCTACATTACAAAAATGACTCGGAATAATTCATTATCACTGCGAGATGATGAAGTGCTTTATTTATGTTAACATTTAATTTTCCACAACACAATACAACAATAAACATGACAGTCATACCATAATTATTTGTATTTTTGTTGTTCATTGAAAAACGAATGTAACATAACCTCTAAAACTTACGTGTTGCACTAATTTAGGCGGCCCACAATTTGTCTAAAACGATTGTATTGCGGTGATTTATGTCCCTTTTGTCCCATAATTGACTCCTAATAAAAACACAAATGATAAATTTCTCAGCAATAATTTTATTTGACACTTACAACACCTGAAGCGTGTCAGCTGTGAATAGCGCGGACCAGCGATACTAGCAGCGAAAACCCTGTCGAAAACCTACCAGAGGGTTTTCGCCGTTCTTATCGCTGGTCGCAGCGCTGATCCCGTGAGCAGCGCGCTGTCAACATGAACACCTCCATTTGATTACATGGCGACGTTCTCGTTGCTTCGCTCGCAGCCTTGCTCTTATCCTCATTTATCGCAGCTCCAACATAAACATACCAGAAAGGTTCCGGGGGATTTACGAGAAGTCACGTGATCCCTCGAATAGGTACCCGGCCAAAGAAGGTTAGCCAATCTTACCAACTAAAGGTCTCAAATACCATACCCTTCGCGTTCACAAATGCGTTCTAACGGAATCCACTGAGAACGTAATGTGAATTAATAGACTGGTTATAGGGCCCACGTATTTTTCAACGTCCACGGGTTGGCAAGTATTGACAATCAACCAGCGACACGTCACCTATGATCATTATTGTCACAATGTATAAATCGATAATTACAACTGCAAGACACGTATCCATAGGTTTATGGTTGGGAGTGAGATGATCATTTTTTCAGTGTGTATACCACTTCATTTGCTACCACTTCAACTGCTCTATATCGTAAGCGACCTATAAGTCCAAGTCTAAAGAAAAATAACTTCCTTGGAGGTGACTACACTGCCGAAAACGAAAAAAAAAAAATTGAACAATAAAGGTGAGTCAGTAGAATGCACCCCAACAATATATGACATACACTGATATTAGTAAAGTAGATGAGTTTACACCATATACTCCATCCAAATCCAAAAGCACACCTCAACGTGGCATCTCAGCCAACGACTCGGCGATTCCCGGTTAGCCCAGAATTCATTAAATTAGTGCAATTTCTGTGAGAGAAATTTGATGAACAATAAGCAAAACTCGGAGAGAATATTAAAGGAAATTGGCATTTAAAAGATGATGCTAGAAGCACAAGATTACTCCTGGAAAAGAAGGATGAAATAAATTTACTAAATGACAAAATCAATAAATTACAACCACACAAAAGAAGAAAATTGAGATGGAGACATAAACCCCCATGAACAGTTCACTCAAGTAGCAGAGAAAATAAGATTGCATACATTTAAAGTTAAAAATGAGCAACATTAACCTAAAAATTCACATTCCTGATAGTTAAGTGTAAGGACAACACAATGATGTGATTATGAAAGGGAAAAAATGGTGGAACTCTAAAACCCTTAAGAAAAAAGGTAATGCAAGCAGACCGTTTTTAAATGAATCGCATATTCCCAAGCTTAGAAACTTGTAGGGAAAGTGTGAATCAAAGGAAAACAAATTTTAAGTAAGTGTGGGTAAAAAATGGACATATTCTATTCCGAAAAGCAGAAAATGCCAAAACATATGACACACTGAAACACACGAAAAAACATAATTTTCCTTTTTGTTAAATTTGTGTTTTGTGCTTGTGCCTTAGTAACAAACACCCAAAATTATGGATTGGATAAACTACCAACTAACAAAGCAACATGTACTACATATTAGAATATGTGAAAATATTAAACAGTGAAATCAGAAGGTAAGTAATGAAACAGTTTCTTCCAACGCAAGAGTAAATGTTCGGCACATAAACACTCGTTATATTAGAAAAGGGTGGGTCAAGCAACAAATACTGTTAAGTTATAGTAATTTCAGTGTAGTTTGTTTATCGGAAGTGGTCAGAGCAGAAAGTGAGGTCAGGTTATCTAATATAAAGAATAATAAAGAACACACAATTTCAGATCAAACAAGGCAGGAGTTGGTATAATAATGTTTTTCAAGAAAACACTAAATTCCAAACAAATTGACTGCACTTACAATAATCTTGAAGCATAGTTGTACTCTTGAACGTTTGTAAGCAGAAAATGACCCTATTAATGTAATATTTATTTACATGCCTCCTCACATAAATGTTTTAGAATTTTAAGAAATATAAAAGTGTTAATTGAAAGTATTACTGAAAGGTCAGCTATCTCTATCTCATCAATCTGTTGGATCGTAAAAATTCAGCCGTTAAGGAATATGAAATATTTATATGCAGTAGAGGTTATAAAAATATTATTGAAAGTGCGGGAAATATTATTGAAAGTGAAAGGAAATAAGAAATGGTGAGCTATGTAGCGTACAAATTGACCATATATTTCTTAGAACAATTCAAATTAAGTTTTTGCAACAGTAATTCATCGCCATACAGTATTTCAATCAAACTCTCGAGTGTGCTAACGTGCAGACTTGCAAATGTGTTTTTTT